GACTTTATACTGTGCTGGAGCATACTCTAGTATTGTCTTAATTGTCTAGTATAAACTTAATTCTTCTATTAATCGCATTCTTTCTCTTTCATATGCTTCACAATGTAATAGGATATGTTCCACAGTCTCTGGTATACCACAATTATTGCAATTACCTGATTCATGTTTACCAATAATAAATAATGATTAAGAGCTGTGTGACCAATACAGAGTCTAGATATTATTGTGTCCTACTTCCAAAGTTTTTCCTTCCATTTCCAACTTGTTTTTGAATGTTGTATAGATGCCGACCCTTTACCTCCCTATCCCACATCTTTTGCCATTTCCTAATCATAGCCCCTCTGATTATTCCTTTCATTTCTGCTTTACTAAGTGATATGTTTATATCTATATCGGTTTGTTTTAATGCCTTCTTTGCCATTTGATCAGCTTCCTCATTTCCCTCTATCCAAATATGTGCCGGTACCCATAAAAATGAAATACTTCATCTATATTGGTGAATTTTGAACATGCTTTGTAGGATATCATATAATATGTCTTGTCTAGATGTAGACTTGCCACTTAATAAACTTATTAAGACAGAATAAGAGTCTGAGAAAATTACTTCTTTTAATGGCTGTATTTCCTCGACCCAATGAAGAGCTATCAGAATGGCTATCACTTCTGCTGAATAAACTGATAAATGATTACTTGTCCTTTTTGCAATTTTAATTTTAAAATGTGGAATGCATATAGAAACTGCTGTATTTCCTGAAACGGGATCTTTGGATCCATCTGTAAATATTTCAATTTCTTGACTATAATTTTGATCCATGTATATTTGTGCAATCTCATTCTTGGAAACATAACCCTTTTTATTATTAATTTCTTCCAAAATCTGAAGGTCTACTATAGGTATTGGAAATAACCACGGAGGTATTATGGGAATTTCCACTGTAGGACTTACATCTATTCTTGTCAATCCAATATCCTCAGCCTCTTTTTTTACAGTCCATCCAAAACATGTATTATTTGAGTTATGTTCCCAACACTCCATCAATATCTTTTTAGCTGGATGGGTTTCAATGTGTCCTTTTAAAGAGGTCCAATATGCCAAAGTCAATTTAAGTCTGCGAATTTCCATTGGTGTCTCTGCCATTTCCACCTGAATTGCTGATACTGGAGAGGTCTTAAAAGCACCACAACATACTCGCAAGGCTTGTGCTTGAATAATGTCTATCTTTTTCAATAACGTTGCTGAAGCAGATCTATACACTATGCACCCATAATCTATTGTTGATCTTATCAACGCACAGTATATACTCCTTAATGAATGCCGGCTTGCACCCCATTGCACCCCTGCTAAACATCTTAATATGTTTATTCCTTTTTTGCATTTATCAGTTATATTTTGTATTTGTATTGCAAAGGTCAGTTTTGTATCCATCCATACTCCTAAAAATCTGATATTTGATACTTGTTCCAATACTTGTCCACAAAGATGAATTCTGGCTATGGGAGTTATTTTCTTTTTTGAGAAACAAATGACTTTTGTTTTTGACACTGACAA